CACTGAATTTCCAAAGAGGAGAAAAAATTCCCAACAGGCAACTACCTGAACAAAGGGACTTTTCCACCCCCTTTCCCAGCAGCCTAGGAGAAGCCGCTCCAAGACCAAGTGGGCAGCCTCATGGAGCCCTTTCCCTAGGGAGCAGCGGCACAGGCAGCTCCTCCTGGGAGCTGCTGTTTGTTTTAGTGCTTCCCACTGAATGTCAATGGGGAGCAGAGAATGACAAGCACACAAAAATACCCACAATAAATGCCAGCCCTTGTTAGCTGAGTAAATTGTGTGCTTAGCAGAGTCTTAGAGGAATCTTTGCAGAGTAAACACTGCCGGGACTGTGTGCGAGGGTAAATATGTGAAGAAGATGCTAAGACATGACTGCCTGCACTGGAATGCAATTGAGCGGCGCTGAATCAGCCCCACGGATGAAGTGGTGTCAGAACCAGGCCAGGAAAACACTCTGAAACCCCCACTGAAGCCCCAGCACTGCTGCTAGTGCATCTTCTCCCTCCCTCTAAATGAGCAGCCCTGCAAAGCTCAGCTTTGGTATTTGCTAGGCTGCTGCTGCCCTTCCYCACAGCACCAAGGCCGCAGACACCCTCCTTAGCGAGGGCTTTGTCTGCTTTGGTTCTCCTTTACACGGACACAGGGCAGCTGCAGCAGATAAGCACAAAGACTAGGGGGATTCTCTTTTCAAACAGCAAACCTCTCACTGAGCAAAGCTCCTGTAAAATACTATTCCTTGGGCCTCGCTGAAAGCTTATTCTTGCCCTGCAAACGCTTTGGCCACACCAAAATCCTCTGCAAGCAGCGATATAAACCCAGCAGTGAAAGCTCTAATTCAGAGCATCTAATGCACATTGCTTTTAAGCACCTCCACTGAAGCTACATTCTACATCTCAGAATTTTCCTTTTCCTTTAATAAGCTTGAATACCAGTTTCTGATGTCACTCTCAGCTTTGCCCTGTAATACTTCAAYTATGACTTATGCTGATGACACCATGACCAAATCCCAAATGAGGAGGTAACACCTTTGACAGTTTGCTCATCATTAACAGTAGATTTCTATTATTTTAGTGCGTGCACAGCAATCCACTTTAGCAGAGACAGGAACAGGGGCCTATTAAACTTCCTTGCTTTGCTCTTTCTCCCCCAGAGCAGCAGCGAGCAGTGCARGAGAGCAGTGCACAACTTAATCCAGGTCCTGGGCCTTTGCAGTGCTGGAAGAAGGGAAGGGAAAAGGCTCCTTCCCAGCACAGGGAGAAGCCAGCATCGCTCACTGCTGCTATTTCCCACCGCTGCTATTTCCCACCACCTAGTGGCATTAGCTCGACATGCACTCCCAGCACTGCAGCTCTGCTGCTGCTAAGACACGGTGGGCCTTTTCAGCTCAAGTTCACAGAAACATCATTTACACAAATATTTTTTACCCTCCCGTTTTGGTTTTGCACTCAAGAGCTACCCTTTCACCCAATAACAATCCTAGCAGCTCACAGAGAAGTGAGCAGGACAAGCTGAAAAGCCGCAACCCAGTGACTACTTCACCAGCAACAGGCCAAAGTTTGCCCTTTGTGATGCTGCTATAGCCCAACATGCTGCRCGGGACTCATTAGCGAACAACATCAGGGGTTGTGTTGAGTGTCAAGGCCCTGGGAAAGCTTCTCTGCAACGCAGGGGATTCACACGTCCTACAGCACTTGCCTTTCCACAGTTCGCAGTTCAAGACAGTTCATGGCCAGACTCCACCTCTCGACTCGGCAAACTCGTGACAGAAGTCAAAGCATCAGGTCTAAACTTCATGGCTACAGGAAGAAGAAAAGGCACTGCTTGAAAAATTAACGCAGAGCTCCCGAGACAGGTACCTACCCCCTGGGAAGAACAGGTATGAACCTTTGGAAGCTGTTTCAGGTCTTCAGAAGCTGCCGCCCTGGTTTGGCTCTGGGSTTTGCAAGAGGTTAAGGCAGAGGTGATGGTTTGCTCTTTGCCAGCAGTTCCACAGCTCAGGCTTCCATGTTCTCCCTGATTTTGCTCTCCAAGGACTGAGGACAGGATTAGAGGAGAAAGCACCAGCAGCTCTAGAAGACGGGGCAGGTTTCCTTTCTGAGAGCCAGTCCCTGGAGGCATTCCCATCTGCTCCTGCTTGGTGGAACCAAACTGGGGCAGGGCTTTCTGAATGGTCGCGATGGGGCCTGGCCTCAGCCTCCTGCCTGCTCATATCACCACGGAGCAGCACCTGCTCTAATCACTCCTGCTGAGGGGGCAGCTCTTCCACACGGGAATCTTAGGCTCACAGAGTAGGAGATATGTTTCCTTAGGATATAAGCCTTTTCATGGACTCCTTGGAGAGAAATGAGCTTATACCAACTCCAAACAGGTACTCGTGTTTGGTCACTTTTTCCTTAAAAAACCCTGGCCTAAAAAAATGCTTTTGGAACTACTTAAAATAACAGAAGCTGTTTTTCTCACACTGGAAAAGCTCAGTGCTTCCTATCTTTTAATGAGGCAGACAATCACTCAGAATGGAACTGACTGCTCCCAGAAGCAATTTGCAGTCTTGAAGATAAGCCTGCCCAAACACTTCATATCTGGGAACACAAGCAGATTCCCTCACTGAAATTTCAGAAGTATCCCAAAAGCTGCATTTCAAAACCCCAGATCTGCTCAGAGCTCTGTTATACAGCACAAGATGCCGAGATGCTTAAGAGTAAGCTAAGCTATAGGAGCTCACAAGTACATACTTGACAAGAGACATTGAATTAAAGTATTTATTTAAACAAGTTTGCAGAGCCATTTATATATAAATTCTCACCACATTTGTGAGCACGTAACCCTCTTACCCCATATCTACAGATTTAAAATGTTTATAACATTTGTTTGCCCTACATAATGAAGTAGGGAGGGTGTCAAGTCACCATTACTTATCTCCATATTCTTGCTTTGTCACTATGAATATACGAAAACTGAAGTTGTTTTCACAAATTGATTTGCATGTTAAATAACACTTTCAGTTCAAGAGTCAGGACTGGGTAATTCTTCCAAGGAGTAATTCATATCACCGAGTGGCTGCTAGCTATTATAAATTTGAAATGGCATAGAAACGTTCCTAAAGTGCATTACTGCGACTAAATAAATAGCAGCATTTATGTTTCTTCAAAACAGAGAACCTGAAAAGGAAGGGATTGCGACCTGGAGTACTTTGCACTTTAAAAAAAGAAGAGCAAGGCAGAGGCCTCGTGTTATCAGTTTATAAAGATACAGCTTAATAACAGGAGTTCATACTTAAAAGAAGTACTTAAGAGGTGATCTTCAGAAGTCCAAAGCCCACAGCAGCAGAACCTGCCCAGTTTATGGAAGCCACACACGCACATCCTTCCTCGGCTTTGTGAGAAGCATCTCCCCTTTAACCAGTGCCTAGCATAGGTCATCATAAAAATACAAGCGTGTAGCAATAACAAAGCAGTTTATCAAGTTATTACTGGCAGTACATTGCATCCCTTTGATAAAATCAACAGGGTTCCAAAGCAGTAGCACACTAAGTTCACGGTTTTCTTCGCCTAAAAGAAAGAGACACAAACAGCTTTTAGTTGTTACACAGCGGCAGTTCTCCCTACCAGTCAACAGCCTTTTTTTATCTATTCTAGGTAAAGTTTCACATATTTCCATTCCTAGAAAAAGGCTATAATTAACATAACCAAGCTAGTGGTTATTCATTAACAAATAGTTGGATTTTTTTCGAGCAGCTGTGAAATAATTTTAGTTTCCTATGCTTATGAAGAAACACAAGTTTCACTCCATAAAGGAGTTCGCACTGCATTACCAGGCTGCAGCAATGCTGCAGGTAGCAGCTGCAGCCAYGAGCAGGTCCCAGCTTCTAGTGAGGTGCAGCAGAGCACATGCTGAGCTGATGACGAGCACATGCTTGTGACTGTGGGTGAAACAGGGAGTACCTGTTTTAGACACTCCCTGAAATACCTTTCCACTAGAGCTCCATGTTTATGCAGTAAAGAGACATACTACACAAAAGTTCAAATGCTACAGCTGTGCTACAAAAGTGTAACAGGAACTAACAGCTTCACTATTTCAATTATAAATTAAATCAGTTTGAATGACTTCGGCTTCATAGAAATCTCTTTACCTCTCCAGCCCACTCTCCTGCCTGTAAAACACGGCTTGTAAAATTGCAAATTTTCTTCCCTGAGTTGAGTAGGGCACTTCCAGAGCACTGCCAGCACCTATCTGCAAGAAGCCAAATCTGGATATTGAATTCTGTTCTCCAACACTTACGTTAGCAAAGCTAGCTTTATCTGAAGCAATTTTGTCAGAAAAGTTGTGTCAGATACAGGGTTCAAACACTGGGCACTAACTTCCCCAGCTGCAGGGTTATTTGGACTTCCTTCAGGGAACTGGGGCTCATTTGGTATGCTTCAGTTTATGGGTGCGACCAAAACTCATTCCATCAAGATAGGAATGACAAGACAGACCTGAGAGGTCAGGTTGTCAGCCCACATATTTGAACTAAAGGAAGTTTTCCTCCAAACGCAACCAGAGCCCCATTGCCTGCTAAACTGAGGCCTTTGGCAATCACACAGTGTCAGCTAGAACATTAGGAAATTCAGGTTTACCATCAGGCATCATCCACCGGKGCCACCCCAGTCATGACAACAACAAGGGATAACCCAGCTACATGTGAGATGCACTTACTTGGGCTGAGCGTGATGCTGATATCCAGGTCCAAGAGTAGATCCTGCCCTCATCTCCACTGCCACAGAACACTGAGAAAACAAAACCAGTCTCAATCACCCTAAACTTAGAGCTGTGCCGACAGCTGAAGTTTTCCCAAGCATGGGATGCCTCCCCTCCTTCCTTTGCAGCTTACTCTGGTTTCTACATCGGTCCATTCAGAGTCTGCAGCATCTTCTGGTGGGTTGGGATCGGAAGGCGACGATCTCCGCTTTCGACTGAAAGAGCAGGAGGGAGAAGAACATTATGGGAATATCATGTACTTTGGTAGATTCAAATACAACCAAATACATTTTATATCATCTAAAGAAATACTTCAGAGAGCTTTATGTCTAGTAGCAGACTAGCCTTACCAGCAGCTACAGCATCTGTAAGAAGTTATCCCCAAGTTACTTCTACATGATTTCAATTCAGATGCAAAAACTATCTTCTCCGTCATTTGGACAAAAATAAGTTACACACGTACTACTAGAAAGATAGGAGTCACTGTCAGAACCTCAAATTAGGAACACAACTCACCCAGTTGGGGATTCTTGCTTTAGAGTCTCTATCTCTGTGAACTGGACAGCCTGTCCACCACCCCGGGTTTTGAAAACATCGCCCTGGAAGCCAAAAGCAATTAGCAGGTTACATTCGTTAGGTCAGTCCGATGGCAAGCGCTCACATGAAAACTGCAGCGCTTTCAGCTGCTACTTCCTTGCAGGCTGGCAGCCAAAAACACATATACGGTTTCATTTCACCCAGCCTCCCCAGTTATACCCAGGGAAATAAAGAGGAATCATCATCTATGCCAATGATCACGTAGGATTTGCAGAGAGCAACTACTACCTTGACAAAAATTCCTGAAAAACAGCAACGACCAAGTATATTAGACACAAACAACATCGTTTCAGGCAAACGTCCGTTCCACAGCACAAACAGGAATGCTGTCATCATTCAAAGGCTTCCCTTCTGGAAGAATAGCTAAGACTTCTAAACTTAGCTTACAGTGAGAGTTATTTGCTTTTTCAAAGTTAAAATGAAATACCAGAAGTCCCATGACTACAGGAAAAGTGAACTCAGGTTCCAGAACCAAGAGTTCCTTACCGAGAGCTACAAAGAGCTCCCAGTCGGCCTTCAGTAATTGCACACAGTACTTGGAGTCTTCAAAGCCCAGGTATTGCAACCATTTGCTTGTCAATTTAATGCTGGAAATAGTGTTGTGGATCGCTCTGCACAGCCACCACTGCAGCAAGTCTATTCATGCCGCAGGTGGAAAGCRGACAACATCACTCCAATAGGACCGACTCCATCCTGACTCCTACCGTAAGCCCAGCTGCAATCCCAGACCTTAGACACTTCCACTGCAGACAGCTTATTATGTTTTACTGGGGGAGAGAGGGCATTTAATTGCTTTCAAGCACAACGAGCTTGAAATAGTTTTTAATACAGTAATGACAAYGTTCAAGAAAAAGCATTTGAGTCTCTAAAGCTACCGTGAATCCAACTTCACAAAGTTTTCAAATGGGACGTCTTGGCCCCACGAGTCAAGGGCACCTTTCTGCAAGCTAGCTAGACTGCAGCACAATTACACGGTGAGGAAGAGGAGCTGAGGCAGCTACCACACCCCGGCACCAGGGTGTTCTCTTTACCTTAATGAGCTTTGTCTCAATCTCCCCATCAGAGGCCAGCTCCTGGTGTGTCAGCATGTACTTGTCACACTTAGCTAGGGCTTTCTCGCTTGCAGCCGCTACCGTGATGGCGTGAGGGACATGGGGCTGCATGACCGTTTCGGTGGGCAGGTTAGAAGGTGGTTTATGGTCCACCCATCTCTCCCCAGCCGAGCGCGAGCGTCTGTGCCGGAGGCGAACCGGAGGTGCGTTCTGAGCGGAGCAGAAGAGAATCACGTGAAATCAGCACACAGGACATTTCTCCTGGGATATCATTAGCAGGAGGGATCTTTTCAGGTCTGGTTAAAATGTACTGGTAGGAAAATTAAAGCCTTTGTCCTCAAGTACTTTCAGAAAACATCACCTGGAATCCATCACCAGAATCCATCAGTTGAGCACCTAGCATAAGATTTTCTTTTTTTTCCTTTTTGCTGTGCCAATTTCTATTATTTGTCAATGTTAGATAACTGCTACCAAATGAGCTGCATTCCATACAAAGTTAGGTTTTCTCAAGGACATCTTTTGTAGCACTCCCCCCAAGTTTCCAAATCAAAACCCGGGGCTATAGTCACATTAACCCACCTGAAAAGAGAAAAATTTAAAATATGTTTCCATTGGTGCATTCCTGGATCAAATAAGCAGTTTTCGTGGTAGCAATGGAAGCAGACCAAGTATGGATATACTTGAGAGATATTTGTAATATCTCGAAAGGATGCAAGGCCTCAGAGCACTTTTCATTAAATAGAGCAGAGCTACAGGAACTACATCCCATGCTAGTACTGCTGCTTCTGGATTCAGCTGTTGAAAATCCACAGCCCGGTACTTCTACTGTCCTCATAAACATTGCTGTCAGAGGCTTAGGGAAAACAGAGGGCTCAGATAACCAGCATAATTTGCTAAAAAAAAAAAAAAAAGAAAAAGAAAAAAAGCCTCTTCAAAGTCTTTCAAAGTTATCAAAACACTCCTGTGCCAAGGATCAGCTCTATGCCTTTCCTTAGGGGTCATTCTCTTTTTGCTCATAGCTCCCTGTTCCATTTGCAGACTAATTTTACAGACCTCTCTGCATCACAGTGAATTTACATCACCCAGACCTGCAAGCCCTAATGTCATCTGCTGTACCCTTMGGTGAGGAGCATCAGTCAGGATTTTTAGCAATAGACATTTCTCACAAATCTGAAGCAGCTCTCAATAAATGGAAAACTCTCCCCGAGAGCAGCATGTATCTTTTAAAGAATTCCTGAAGATTTTTTGGCATTTTAGTGAGCAAGAGCTGGTTACTGTTGATATTTTTTTGACAACAGTTTTGCCAAGGCGCTTTAGAAGTTATGCCCTAAGGCCACACTACCACTRGGTACATTTTACTGTAAAAGAGACCACATCCCTCTCCTCTGCTAAGAGTGCCTTGTGTGTTAGTTAATTAGAATAGCATTAGCTTAAAAGCACATCTCTCTTTCAGCATCAGCTTAAAAGCACTTCAAAAGGCTAGCAAGTAACAGAAATTTTAGAAACATTATTGAAAATGAATCATTCCATGAGAAACTTTCCTCCCCTTGAGAAGGTCTCTCAAGAGGGCGGATTTTGTTTCTTTTGTACAATTATCTGAGATTTTCCTGAACCGCTGCACCAGAGCTGTAATGCGACACAGACAAGCACCACAGATACAAACACTGGCATGCATCAATTTGAAGGAAGAAAGGGGGAGGAAAAGTGCCCCAAGGGTAAACAAAGCCCCCCTGCTTTAGCACACATGAGCATCTGGGAAGATCATTCCAAGAGCAAACTTAACATTGAGACAAGAGAGATGCTTGTCCAAGCACTATTTCCAATAGACATGTGCACAAGTGGCTCACAGGACTACCTTTTAAGCTGCCCAAACAGACTATGGCAAATTGCAGACTGTGAGACAGATCTGAGGAGACAGATAAATTGAAAAACAAGGACATTTGTAGCCAGAAATGAGGTCTAGCTGGTTTAGAATTCCTCACAAGAGCTATTTACGCGCTAGCAAGAGATAGACAACTGCTTTTAAGGAGTTTTCAAATGTCAAATCAAGTAGTCAGCCTGAGTCTCACTCTTCACTCTACTTGGAAATAGCACTGTCCTACAAGAACTACATTACGAAGCAAGTTCCAGTCCGTTTTAGGCATGTTCTACACTAAAAAAGCAGTTAAGGGGAGCTTCCGAGTCAGACTACACAGCACTACATTTCATTTCGAGAGCACTAACCCTGCAGCATTGGTCCTCTTCTATCTCTAGCTCATTTCTATGTCTGCGAACCTCAACGACTCCCGTGCAGTACATCCCTCGCCTTCTGTCTGAAGCGGTATAGTTTCTATTTGGCTCTGGTTCTTGTTGTCTGCTCCTTGCATTAGGAGTGCCACTGGCATGCTTGTGCGAAGGGATTTTCTGCTCCCACTCCGTAATGCAGGAGGCCACAGAAATGCTGCTACAAGAATTAGACCGTCTGTGCACCTGCGGGTTGCTCGCCAGCCGCTGGCTATTAGGGACCTGAGCAATGCCATGACTAGAAGGCTAGAGAGAATAGGAAAGAAGTTAGTGAACATACAGAACTGTCAAATTAAGCCAATAAACAGTATCATGCTGCACATCATGTTCAGTTCAGCCTGTGGCTTTGGACAGGTAGCGTGTTTCAGCAACAGCACCAAGATTTAGTTGTTCTTCCAACACTAGAGGACAGCAGCACAAATAAAGAMCACTGATAAATATAACTGAAAGAGAAGAAATCTGAGATCAGCCGTTCAAATTCTGTGCTCAAGAATCTCTTGTCACCACTAAGAAAGCTGGTCTGAATTTCAGTTCGTTCTTATAAAGATGCTCGTCCCCATTTCAAGGGTTTCATAGACAACTTACAGATACTGGCGAAGGAGACACTGATCTCTGAACAGGCTTCTCTCTGTCTCTCTCCCGTGACGGCCTCTCAGGTTTTTCATTCTTTGGTTCAGTAACAATGGCCTTCAGTTGCTTCAGTTTTTCATCTTTGACCCAAAGTTTGTTCTGCATTTCCAGCTGCTTGGCTGCTACACGACGTTCCTGCACGGACAAGCGCTTGCATTATTTCCAGATGGACTTAAAGCTTTGGGAAGTGGCAAATCAAGCAAAAAGAATAGACTTGCCAAATTCCACAGCAATATTATATTTAATGCCACAAACAATTTGCCTTTTGAATTAAGATAATGGGAGTGTGGAGTACCCCTGCTCCTGAAGTATGAACATGCAGTATTAATTTCTCAGGTTTCCTTTTCCTATTGCATCTCAAGCACATCCCTAGGCAAGCGTGTAGGCAATAAGGAGAAAAGAAACTCAGAGTAGGCTTCTGATGACAACGGACAAAGCACAAGAACCACTACTGAGGAGCCAGAAATCCAAGAAACAAACTCTAGATATCAGAATAAAATGAGGAATTGCTTCAACAGTCTTCTGGATGAACCAAAAGTCCTCGAGAAATATCCTCAAGCATACTGTATTTATAAAATACTTAAATGCAAAACGCTGGAAGTGTTTAAGTTCATATTTAAAGSCAAACATCTTCAGTCTTAATGCTACTTAGGAAATAAATAAACTGGAACAAACACCCCAGACCACTTAGAACTGCRTAGGGGAGCAAAGCTAGCGTGCTAGGAGGCACAGCAGCGCACTTACACACTCCTTTTCCCATTTCATGGTGGTTTCCACCACCATGCCTTGCAGTCGGGCCTCCAGCCGCCGCTTGTCGGAAGCCTGACGCTGCAGCTTCTGGCTCTTGCTTTCTAGCTCTTGCTGGAGATTACGTTTGTCCTCTTCATAAATCGTAGCCGTTTTCTCCAAAATCTCAATCTGGAGGAAAACAGGAAGGACTTGGCTATGCCTCTTACAATCAAGCCCATCTGAGCCTGAGACTGTTAGTCATATTTCATTAATTTGGTTATTGTTATATGAATAAGTACACACAAAAAAATACTAGTTCCAAAAGGTTTTGGACATTTCATGGCTTACAGGAGTTGCACATCTCTATATACTGAGAAAAGCTACCAGGAAAGTCAAAAAGCTGAAACAACATTCAGTTACAGTTCCCCAAGACAAACTTTTAATCTCATCTCCAATATCCTTTTCAGGCAACCTCTGAGTCAAGAACTTTGCCMAACGGTAGCTGGGAAATTCCTTTTGCAGATTTAGGCAACTTAAAGACACCCAACCTTGTATTCCAGAGTTTTAGTTTTCTTCTCCAGGCGTTCTAGCTCCATTTTCTGTCCTGCTATTATTTTCTCTTTTTCAGACAGTTTTCCTTGAATATAGTTCTCCTTGGATACGATGCTGGACTCTAATTCTTGCAGCATAGTTTTAAAGGAAAGCACTGCAAGAGAAACGGTGTTTYGTCTTCTCACGCTATCCAAAAAATACTGAAAAAAAATTGTTCTTCCACCCCCCACCAGCTACCCCAAACAAAGGTTTTCTAAAGCATCAACTGGGGCAAGGTATTTATTTTGTGTTGCTACAGAAGACATCCCTGAAGAGCATTAAGTGTGACAGAAGTCTAGTTCAACGCTGATGTTCAAATTCTTACCGTTTTTGGCAAATTTCTCTGACAACATTTGTTTTAGTTTTTGGCGTTTTTCCAGGGCTTCAATAAGCTTTGGAAGTGTTTGATCATCATTAATATCCAAAAGTTCACACGAAGGCAACGGAGGAAAGCTCTGCAAAAGCATTTCTGAAACAGATTGCTCTTCTGTTTCTGTAAGATTTAAAGCCAAGAAAGTCTGTCAACAAGCTACAGAACGGAAAAATTCCATTTGACAATGCATAGCCACAGATCATCCATTCCATAATGGTATGGAGTAGACAGAATAATTGCTGAGAACTAGAAGTTTTCTGAAGAGATGACAGTATTGAAGAAAGATGAAATGTGACAGTCTTGATTCATTACACGAGAATACCTCCAGGCAACTCCTGCTTTCTACAGTAGGCCTTGAGCATACAAAAAACATCAAAGTATCAGCCTCAGTAAAACAATTTCCTTTCAGGAAGTGCAGGAATGAGACCATGAATGCAACTCATCACCAATTACAAAGAATCACTCTAGCGTTTGTAGTATAAGCTCAGTTATTGTATAAATAGTGCAGCAGTATAAAAAGAGCTACTCAAATATACATAATGCAGAACAAGGGTATACATAATGCAGAACTAAAGGGTGAAAAGATTTTTTTGCTCTTTTAAGATGCGGATAATTTGTTTTCCCCAAAGCCTTCATCCCCAAGGAGAAAAGCRGGTGCTGTGCTCACGCAGCACCCAAGTATTTACCTCTGTGGAGGGGGCCGCCCCGCAGCTCCAGCTTCCGCGAGAGCTCCTCTCGGAAGGCCTGGTTCCTGAAGCGCTGCCCGGGGGTGAGGCCGCACAGTGGTTTATCAACAGGTCTGGCAACTTCTACTTCCTGAGTCATTTCTGCAAATCGCATCACTTGCTACAAAGGAACAAAGACAAGCTTAACGACGCCACCAAACACAACAAGCCAAAGGCAAATTCAAAAGCAGTATTTTAGATCAATAAAGGATTAGAGGAGGTATTAAAATTGCAAGCTAGGTAGCTGGGAGCTACTTAGCTCAATGCTCAATGAGGTGGAGCATCCAAAAACCTTCCTAGTAACATCCCCCAACTTTCCCACCAAGGAGCCATAAAAACAACCATGCAAAACACCCGCATTGAAGTTCTTGTGGATACTTAAACGTGGCCGTAGGGTTGGACCTTTGTAAATAAGACAATCTTTCCTACTTTACATGCAAGTATTGTTGCAATTTAAGAGAAAAAGTGGGACTTAGTGGGCACATCTACCCCATAACAATGTATTTAATTGGATGAGGATCCAAACAGAAGACATTATCATTCCTATATCCTGCTAAACAAGTGCAGTAATTTGAAGGTCAACATGAAAGGGGTGAAGAGTAGCAGAGAAAGATGTACAAGAAGTTACCAAGCTTTCCTCGTAGTCCTCGGCTTTAGGATTAACACACACGATCATACGCACTTTTCCTTCACCATCAAAATAGTTCTTGAAGAGATGAGTCAGCTTGGAATCTCTGTATGGAACCATCTTAGAACAAAGAAATAGCTAGTAAGCTTTCATTAACCAGCTCTTCCTCAAAAGACAGACAATTAGATGATCTGTTGCATACCTTGTTTGTTCCATACATCTGGTTTTCCCGTAGAACTTCAATACAGGTTCTTAATGTCATTAGTGACTGATTAATATTACCTAAAAATAAAAAACAGCTCATTAAGCAGTCATTTGGATCATGTTCCCACATTATGTAGTGACTTGCTTAAAAATAAATTGCTTGGACTCTTAAGTAGAGATTTGTTACAGATAATTACTCCAATTAGTCTCAAATACTCATGAATTGTAATACTATAAAGAATGTTCCAATTTCCAAACTTGAGGATTTAAGAACATCAGAGCAGATAATTGAAAAACAAAACTGAGCAAGTCGCCCATGCTGCTGATTCTCCTAGGAAGCAGACTAATACCTCAATACGAGCAYGTATATTAGTATATACAATTAACAGGCGGTCTAAATGTGGTACATACCTGCTTCACGCAACCTGTTCCCTTCAGCTTTTGTTCTGTTAGTTCTCTCACTCCCAGCGAGATCAACCAAGGACAGCTGGCTTAAAGTGATATGTTCTTTCTCCTGTTACAAGGAAGGAGGTTACGTTAGGCTAAGGACTTGCACTATGTTCCCTACCTTCTTGGTGTGAGGGTAAAGGGGAGAACCCTCACACTCCACAACCAGCATGCAAAATTACGGGCCCCATGATGAAAAAGTGATGGAATTTTTATAATCCAAGATTATAAAATGCCCACCATCAAGCCCACCATCAGCTTTTTCATATATAAGTTTTTCAAATCCTCTCCATTTTGGGCCACAAGACAGATGTAACGAGTGCACTCGCAATTTTGTATTCAKTAACAATAACAGTTTTAGCTTAAAAGAAACAGGAACAAGTAGTTTCACTCCCCATTGTAACGCTCTACTTCCATGACAGAGAGGAGATTAAATTTGAGATCTCTGTGGGAATTTGAGTTTGATTAACTCGCTGAGGCATGTATTCAACACAAGGTCACTGCTCAAGCAGGCCATGCGGCAAGGCTTGCTGCTTTTGCAACCCTTACATACACACACACACACAGTTCTTCAATAGTTCGCTCACGGATTCACCTGTAGCACGTTATCTCCATCAGCATCCAGGGGTGCCTGAGCCAACTTTATTATAAAAACACTATGAGAGCGACTAGATTCTCTGTTCAGCTGAGTGTTTGCTATACGCCTCTTTTTCTGACCTGTTAAAAAGACAAAAAAAAAAAAAAAAAGAGTTCTATTTAAAATTTGCCACTTAGCAAATGAATTTTGTTTCCACTCAGAGCGATAAAAATTACACATCCCTTCTGAATTTCAAAAGTTATATTTTAAGATTATTTACCTCTCCAAAACACTTCAAAAGCTTCTTCTGTGGATTTCACCTCTACCTCGGTGCAGCCTGTGACATACATTTTGTGATTCTGGCCCTCGCGCAGCATTTTGGATTGGGGAGGTCTTAAGAGGGGAGAGAAAAAAACAAGAAACCTAAAGCTGAAGGGAGCTCTCTATGCAACCACACACACATCGTGTCATGCAAATTTTCATTTGTTTAAATACAAAATTCAGACCGAACTCGTCAATTATCCATAAGGCAGATGGAAGAGGAAGTACAAATACATGGACACACACTCAGCCAGGATTAGTTACACTTCAGCTACTGCTTTAATTTAGAAGCTAGATTTAGTTGCAATTCTTACTAGGAATCACCGGTTTGGATGGCAGCTATTTTTTCTCTACATGCATATGCTCATACAGAAGCAGGACGGCTTCCAAAGCGTTCCGTATTCGCTAGTAAAGCGAGCAAAGGTACGGAGTCAGCCCGAGTTCATTTGCTGCTTCTACTATGAAGAATTTTTATTTTTTTTCAATATTGGGAATAATACGCTTAGACACATACATAAAGTCACCATTTCGCACAGGAGTGTTGCAATTGTTCCACCTAGCAAAAAAACAGGGTTAAAAAAAAAAATTAAGTCATTCAGCTTTAACATACTGCAGTTTCCATATAGGAAATATTTTAAGGTCCTTCCTAGGATGTAGATGTGGTAAGATACTAAATGAAATATTCTAATCCTTCCTCAAAAAGCACTCAGACACTCAAATTCATTTCAAAGCAGTACCCTAGAACCAGCTCTTGATGTTTCAGAGTAATTGCTTGTTTTTCTCTAGTTAACCTTTACAGCTTGGCTAACTAATTTCTGCATATGCCAACAGGTACACATAGGTATTTTAATAGGTTTAGAATAGATATATTCAAAGTTTTTCCAAAGGCCCCAATGTTCRGTTTCAGACACTGACTTTCCATGCAATAGCCAAAATTGCACTTAAGACACTRTCCATCTTTGATTCTATAAAAATGGTCAGCATCAAGAGAGACCGAGAAAGCACCAAGTCTTAGCAGCAACAAAGAGACCATCGGTACTCAGCCCACTTAAAAGCTGTTGCCTGGGCTCCCTGAACACCACCTTTCTCTCATCACAGAGAGAAGTCAAACTTGCCAAGACTACAGCCAAAGACATACTATAGTGCTCATAAAAGCATAACTGAAATGAGTAGGAAGGGTATTCACAGAACCTACTTTGGTTTTATGGTATCAAAGGGAGATTCCTCCAAGAGGTCATATATGTAGTTATTGTAGATCTCAATATAGGAGACAAAGACACTATAAACGTTTTCTTCATCAACTTCTTCCACTTTGCAGTGATCTTGCACGTTGATCATATCAGCAAATTCTGGATCTATTTGGCGCCTGCAAAACACACAGAGCAAGCCAATGTAAAGGAGCATCCATGGTTAGCTAACAGCTTATAGACAGTGACTACAGGATTAAAGAGTCTATCGACAGATGATTCTCACACTAGAACGTGCAGACAAAATATCCAGTTTTTAAATCAAAACAAACCAAAAAGAACACTCTGAAAAGCTTAAAAACATAAACTTTCAGCTGTCACTGATATACTKGGTTGCAGTAAAAAATACATTGCAGAGTTCCTGGCTAGTGTGCATTTCTATCATCTTTCAGTCTCACTTATTTGGCAGAACAGGCTCATATTTAACCTCACAGTATCGCTACCAAGTGAAATCACCTCATTTTACTCGAGGGAAGGCACAGCTGACGAAGACAGAATCAAGTTTTCCAATTCAAAATGCTTAACTACATAATTCCTCAAACAGAAAAGTTTGTATGTTACTTTCATTCATACTTTTTTCTCCCTTTTCCAAGGGAAGAGTTAAGAGACTACATTTAGACCAGAATGTCAGAATACGTACATTAATTAATTCTTTCTGCACGTTATAATAGTTACTTACTTGCCAGATGGAGTTTTTGGAACAGGCATGGCATCTCTCTTCTGTCGCTCTAGCAGAGCATCCACTTCACACTGAACATCCACACCATTCTTCTCATCAAGCTTAAAAACCTGAGCAGGGAACATACATGCAGACAATATAAACACTAGAGAACGTAAGGTACCGGCCAGCAAAACACAAGTTAGGTGATCAGGCTGTCTGGCAACAAGTGAATATTGTGCCTATCACTAGCATTCAACCTGCTGGCTAATTCCAAGGAGATTCAATGGAGGACAGACTTTGCTAAGATAAACATCTCACATAAAGCTACCATTTAACACCCTATCAAGAACAAGGCTTTCAGCATTATTTCCAGTATTTTTAGACATCAGAAAATCCAGGAGCGTTGACAAAAAGAAAAGCTTCAAATCACCTTCTGTATTAGTAGATATTGAATGAAATCAAGCCAAAGGAAGCCAAAGCTCAGAAAGCCTTTTTTTTTTTTTTTTAATATTGTTTTTAAGAGATAGTTAAAGAATGAAAAACAGTTGCAAAGACAGCTAGAGAAGACTGTTTATTTTTATGAAATTGTCCTTCCCAGCTACTATACCTGACACTTTTGGCCCACACTTCCAATCCTACATTTTTGTTGCTGTTGTTTTCCCCCTGTTTTTAATTTGCACTAGACAAATTCAACGCTCAATTCATTATTCTAGTGACTTATGCTCCTAGAGGCAACAGTGTAAGGAATTCCGTACAAAACTACTCACAAATCGTTTGGCCTGGAACGGTCCTATGCTGTTGAAGATCATATCCAGGCACCGAGGCAGAAGCCCTCCATCCCCTGGAGACCCTGTCATGGTGTGTGTCTTTCCACTGCCCGTTACTCCATACGTAAAAAGCAGGCCTAGGAGAGACAGAAAGGTTATGAAATGGTGCCTTTTATCTTCTCTAGTTAACCATATACAAAATATCCAAGAAAATATATACAAAAAAAAAAATAGACCCCGACACAAGCACCACAATAAACAAGTAACACAGGTGAGTGAGGTCAGAAATGAGGAAAGACAGAAAACTTCCAACAACGTTGTGTAGGCACTCATTTTTTCATTGAGATAATATTTATGCTTTTTCCTGGACAAGCAAAAAAAGTCTTGACACAAGAGAAGTCATAGCAATAAAAGAGCTGGCAGGAGTGACATATAAAGCATGGCCTTGCTTACCATTTTTCCCATGGATGAGATCTTCCACGAGAGGCTTAGCCACCACATCAAAAAGTTCCTTCTGAGCAACCAGGGTGCCAAATACTTCTTTAAATGAATACTGCGTCTGAAGAAAATATACTGCCTTAAACATTAGTTTTCCACAAGTTTGTTATTTCAAAATGCTTCACGCCTTAGAACATCAACAGCTTCCCAGAACAGCAAAGATTCTACCTTAAGATTATAGCAGCTTTTAAAAACGTACAGTTGCTTCAGTACACATGTACTGAGATCTCAGAAACCCAGACCTGCATAAGGAAGAACAGCAATTTTTTCTCATTTTCATAGAGCTCAAGTCTAGAAATAACCAGAACGATGACCAAGTTCAACCTCCTGGCAACCAGAGAATCTCACTGCTTTCATCTTCAACTCAAAACTTCTGCTCGAGCCCAATTCTCCATTCCAAAACTCAGCAATGAAAGATCCACATCAGCCAAAATCAAGTTGTTCCAGCATTTAACCAATTTTGTTTGTGTCTTTTTCTAGACTAACCAGAATTTCCAGTCCAAGAATTTAAATATACTATTTTTTCTGAGGAGTCTGGTCGCTCTTCATTAACAGCATTGCTTGCTCATATAAATATTTGCACTAAGTTTTCCAACAAAGTACCAATCTTTCAATTAACCCTTGGCTCTGTTGTTTAAGCCTGGAAAGGTTGCTTTATGTACTTATCCTTTAAGTATTGCTTATAATGCAGAATTATTTGCTTCAGATTTCTTCTCAGCTTGAACTCACTATTTTTTTTCTTGGAAACCCAAAAAGATGTGTCTTCATTCAGGCTACACTGCTGTGTTGGGAACTTGCAGAAAACCATTTCATTAACAAAAGATGTTCAGTGCCCAGTGCCGCAACTCCTTGCTCTGCAAACTTGACCCAAATGCTCCCTTTTTAGCGAGGCACCAGCTGGACTAGACACCCACATTGGCCAGGAACCAACAGGAGCTGCTTGCTGCGAAGGACCTTTACTTCCTCTTCCTCCTCCTCATTTCAAGGCATTTCTCCACTTTCAACACATGAATGACAGAGTTTTCTCCCCAGGATTAAATAACTAGGAGAATTTTACTTTTCGTCCAACTTGAAGTTTAAGAAGCAGCAAATTAACTAGTCTTAAAGGAGTTTTGCTTAGAGTTGCTGTTTTTTAMTTGGTTTTTTTTTTTTTCTGATCAGTCCTAAATAGCAATGTCCTTGGCTCTAAGCAAGGGTCAGCTCCAGGGCTTTTTGTTTATTTTAGCTTCTTTTGGGGTGTTTTTTATTTTTAACCTTTTACCTGTTTCCTGTCCCCCCTCCAAAGTAGTCTCCTAACGCACAGAGGCTAGAGCTGACGGCCAAGCAAAACCCACATTTTCGCTCTGGAAAGCTTTCCCCAAAGCAACTTTCCCTGGATCAGCACGCGCGGGCAAGGCCGCTTTGCAGCACAGAGGGGCCCATTAAGCAGGAAAAGGCCGAGCCGCGGCCAGGGAGCACCGCGGGCGGCCGGGCYGGGCCGGGCCGGGGCAGCCGTTACCTCCCGGTACTCGCCGTTGCGGACGACACGGTAACCGTCGGGCGGGTGGATCTGCACGGTGTTCTCGTTGATCACCTCGATGCAGCACTCCTCGTCGGGGCAGCTCAGCGGCCGCAGCCGGCAGTACACCTGCGGGAAGGCGCCGTTACGGCGGGTGGACCCCGGCTCGGCCCGGTCCGGTCCGGCCCAGCCCGGTGCCCCCCGCGCCGCCGCACTCACCCCCACGGGGTCCTTCAGGCTGGGGTTGGACGGCTTCTTGGCCGCCGGTCTCCGCGGGGTCTTGGCCCTACTGGGAGAAAGGGCGAGGCGTCAGCGCGGAGGCAACGCGACGAGACCGAGACCGAGACCGAGACCGGGACCGAGACCGGGACCGAGACCGGGACCGAGACCGGGACCGGGACCGGGACCGGGACCGGGACCGGGACCGGGACCGGGACCGGGACCCGGCTCCCCCGGTCCCGCTCGCCGGTGTCACTTACGCCGCCTTCATGGCGCGGACGGTGGCCGGGCAGGGCCGCGCGCACGCGGAGGGTCCCGCGCGAGGTGGGTGCCGCGACCGCCRCGCTCCGCGCTGCCCTCGCCCGCGCGCCGGTTGCGATTCAAATGCGGCCAATCAGAGCGCACGCTCGGGTCAACGTCACCGCGCCAGCGCGCTGTGATGGGTGCGGGGGAACGTGTCGCCATGGAGACGCCCCTAGAGCGTTGCCATGGTGACGCTCCGCGGGCGCGGCGAGATGGCGGCGAGGCCCGGACTAGGCCCGGCCTGGGCCCGGCCTCGAGCAGCGGCCGCGAGCAGCGGCCCCGGTGCTGCCGCCGCCGCGAAAGGCCGCAAAGGTGGAAACGTAGAGACGGCACTGCGCTCTGCTGTTCCTGGAGCCACCTCCTCAGTGCTCGGGGCAGCTGTCTGTTCTTACAGATGGCTTTAAAATGTATTGAAGCCAACCCATGCTCAAAACACCTATCACCAGCACAAGCAAAAAAAAACCTGTGCGCGTTCCTGCCATCACACTGTATCTCACAAGCTGTGTCCCACACAGTGCCCTAAGCACAGGTGGTGTGGGGTTGTCACCCTTAAAAGTGAACTAAATTGCAAAAACCCTGGGAACTACCCCCCCAAAACAAAAACAAACAAAAACACACACACACAAAAAAAGACACAAACAAAACAAAACCAACACCTAAGGCTGCACTGCTCACTCGTAGCAACAACCCTGCTCACATTCCTGCAGTTGCAGTGTCCCGTGGTGCCATTTCTTGCAGATCCAGGGCTGCTTAGGAATTTGCAAGGTAAAACGGGCATATTTCCATGTTTACACATGCCTGGGAAACGCTGSCCACTGTGTGGGCAAGAGCACCGCTGCGTGGGATCACAGAGGGAAAGGGCGCCTGAAAAGCGAGCTACCCTTTCTGATAAAAGGCAGATAAAGCCCCASCACAATGTCAAACGCCAAGGTGACACACGGAACGGCTGTAACCAGAACGTGTTTTATATCAGTTGGCCACAGGCTCCTATCACCTGTAAGCGGGAAAAAAAAGGCCAAAAAAGCTCTGTGCCTGTTCCCCAATCTAAGGGCAGGAGCCAGCAGTCTAATCAGAACAAAGCAAAGTGTTTTAATCTCTTTTCTACATTACACTCTTTTGGGGAAAGGCATGCACCTTTTGGACTAGGAGTTACTCCAAAATATCCATATTTGTGGTTTACCTTGCTCCAAAGGAACTTTTGTGTCATGATAAGGCCTAAGATTCAGGTGACAGGCAATGGGAAATGGAAAAGGACCATATAGGAAAGTCTCACTTTCCAGTAACTTTTTCATAAGATGCAAAAGTTGAATCAGTGGCCTATGAATATGATGCAATCCGCTTATTATAGTTGGGAATTAGAGAGGTTGGTTGTTCAAAACTGGAAATCAAGATAAACTAAGGCTAAATTCAAGGCATTGTGTGGTATTACAGAGGAAAGGGCACAGATACAATGAAGCAACATGTTCACACAAAAAAATATCTGGTATTATTTACATGCAACAGTTTGGCACACAGATTTTATTTCTTTGTATGTGCATAAAGCTCAGTACATAAAACAGCTTTGGAAGGCAGAGCTCCAACCGAGGGTGCAGCCTGGCTTAGCTGTGCTGCTGAGATCAAGATTAAACAACATTCACTCCTTTATGTGCAAAATATCTGTTAGTCTTGCATAGTTTTGCAGGATCCGCAAGGATTATTACAGTGCATAAAACAGGTTGTATTTTTAGTGTAATTTCCCTACAAATAATGATATGCTTAACATGTTGCATTTGAAGAAGACAAGAAGACTTCCCATATTCAAAAGTTAAACTACCAAGAAAAAACTATAATAAATTAATGTAAATTTTAGAGACTCTTAAATCACTTCTTGCACACAAAGCCAGATTCCTTTCCAGTTACACATGTATMCCAGGTAAATAATTGGCAATTATCAGCAATCATCTTTGAAGTGGTTATTTTCACAGACACTATTTTTATGAATCATCCAGATCAGGTTAGCATATACCAGTGCCACCATTATATTAGTTTTCCCTTTTAACAAAATAAAACCTTTGAATAAACAATTATGTTCCAGTGCTTATAAATATTAATATAAATCTTGGTCAGCTTTCAAAAGAAAGCTGCTTTTCGAAAGACTTGAAGACTTGTTTGTCCCACAGTATCTTTAAAGAGCTGTTGTACTATCACTCAGAAGTGCATCTATTACACCTTAATAGAGGTAATTACACAAAAGACAAATTAAACACCCGTGTGATAATCAAGAAGCTTGAGAATGTTCCAAGGTGGTGATTTTTGTGTTATATTTTTTGTACCTGCTGCAGGTCGCTTGATCAGTGCAATAGGACACGCTCATCACAGGCATCCTCACAGCAGAGGCTACCCCAAAATTCAGAGGAATTTGGAATACGGCCCAGATCCGATTCCACTAACATATCAGGCACTTTGGTTAAGGCAGTGGGTGAGAGATATCCCAGTTTTTAACCTGCCGGGTGATATTTCTCTGGGAGGTAAAGGGTAAAGCATCGACTCGGGAGCCCCTATAAGACCTGTCCTAATGATCCGGCTTGCTGGTGTGAAGCGATGCAAGGAACGGATCTGAAACCACTCCATGAATCCACAGTGTGGGATCTCCCCCTCACGGAAAGCAAATCCGCCAGGGAAAACCTGGAAAGCCCCTTGGGATCTGGGTGTGGAGCAGCCCCTGTCCGCACTCCATTCACTAACACGATTCACACTCATTTCCACACAGCCGAGGTTTTGCTTCCAGTCTAAAAGGATCACAAGGACATTCATGTCCACAGACGTCCAGCATTTCAGCTGTGTCCCGTCCCTCCATAAGGCAGAACCCATGAGTGCCTATTGCTCTGGAAAACAGTAGCATTTACCTCCCTTTTACAGAGAAAAACCAAGATTATTATAATWTTGCGTGTGTGGTGAACGCTCAGCTTGATTAAAAGCATCTCAGAATCTGTTTCCATCCTTAAGGCTATATAAAGAGCAGTGCAGTATAAAGTGCTTCATCTGGAGAATTTTGAAGCCCGTTTGCACAAGGAATGTGCCTGAGGAAATCCCTCCTCGGTGCCACCTTTGCGTCCGTCGCTTGGAATCCCATCCATGGAGCTGCACAAAGGGGATCCCAAGGCAGAGCCTGGGCTCTAATGCAGCTTCCATGCGCTCGAGGGCTGCTGCACGCGGCCGAGCGAGGCCGAGCAGAGCGCCACGACAGCCAGGGAAGCTCCCGCTCCGATGCCCATGGGAATGAGGGTGCTGAGCGCCGCGGGCGCCGCACCGGCCGGGAGCGCGGCCATGTCCATCCTGACGGCCTCCACCTGGAAGTGCGTGCCCAGGATGGCGCACACGTGGAAGAGCTGGTGGCTGTGCCCTGCGGAGACGGCAAAGCAGGGACACGGGCACGCGGCGTGAGCGGCGCCCGTGCTGCCGGGATGCAGGGGCGCGCGGCTCCCCGGAGTGCTCCGTGACGGAGATGATGCATTTTGCATAGGAATTGAGCGCTCCGTGACGGAGCCAATGCATTTTTTTGCATGGGAATTGAGCGCTCCGTGACGGAGACGATGCATTTTGCATGGGAATTGAGTGCTACATGATGGAGCCGACACATTTTTGCATGAGAAYTGAGCGCTCCATGATGGAGCCAATGCCTTTTGCATGAGAAYTGAGCGCTCCGTAACAGAGCCAACTCATTTTTACATGAGAATTGGGCGCTCCATGACAGAGACGATGCATTTTCACGTGTGAATTGAGCRCTCCATGATGGAGCCAATGCATTTTTGCATGGGAATTGAGTGCTCCGTGGTGGAGCCAATGCCTTTTGCATRAGAATTGAGGCCTCCATGATGGAGCTGACGCATTTTTGCACGAGAATTGAGTGCTCCATAACAGAGCCAATGCATTTTTGCATGACAATTGAGTGCTCCATGATGGAGTCAATGCATTTTTATATGAGAATTGAGTGCTCCATGATGGAGCCAACACATTTTTGCATGAGAATTGAGCACACCTACGGTGACGATGCATTTTTGCACGACAATTGAGCGCTCCGTGATGGAGACAACACATTTTTGCATGGGAATTGAGCGCTCTGTGACGGAGCTGACACATTTCTGCATGAGAAACGAGCGCTCCGGGGTTGCACACCCCTTCGCGAGGGGTTTTTTGGCGCCGCGGGTGCCCGAAGCGCCCCGTAGGGCCCGTGCGGCGGGTCGGAGGCGGCGCCGCCGTCACTCACCGAGGCGGTCGAAGCGGCCGGGCGCCAGGCGCTCGGGCAGGTGGCTGGCGAAGACGAGGCCGGCGAGGAGGGCGAGCGCCGTGTGCCGCCCGTGCAGCGGCAGCGCCGGCCCCGCGCAGCCCCGCGCCGCGCACGCGCCCAGCTGCACGGCACAGAGACGGCGCGGGCAGAGCCGGGACCCCTGCCCTCATCCCGGGATCCCTGCCCTGCCCCGGGACCCCTGCCCTCATCCCGGGATCCCTGCCCTCATCCCGGGACCCCATTCCTGATCCCGGGACCCCTTCCCTGCTCCCGAGCCCCCATCCCTGTTCCCAGGCTCCATTCCTGCTCCCAGGACCCCTTTTCGGCTCCCAGGACCCTTTCCCTGCTCCCAGGCCCCCATCCCTCCTCCCAAGCCCCCATCCCAGCGCAAGGATAAGGGTACGGGAGCGGGATGCTGTTTGCAGAGCAGGCCCAGCCTCCACCTCCCGCCCTCAGATCCAACCGCAGGGAAATTCCCACCCTGCTCCCGCCTGGGAACCCAGCCCCGCTCCCAAGCTCTGCACGTCTCCAGCGCGGGCAAAGCTGGACGCCCTCCTTTGAAGCGAGAGCAGCCCGTGCACCGACAAGCACAGGAAAAAACAACCAAGGCTCTTTTCCTGCCAGAGCTAGTTCCGTATGAAAATAATAATAATAAAAAAAAATATGCAAAGCATTTTTCYCCGCTGCAGGGAACAGCGGGCATTCCCAGGAAGCGTGCGGCGCCGTGTGCGTACCCGGTAGAAGATGGGGATGCTGTCGAAGAGGTAGGGGCAGGCGAAGGCGGCGGTGCGGGCCGCCTTGCCGAGCCGCGGCCGCGCCGGCTCCACGATCCTGGCGGGACGCGGGATGCGGGAAGCGCCGCCCGTGAGCGGCGGCCGCGGCAATTCCCGCATCCCGCTGCTTCCCCCATTCCCTACGGCCGTGCTCGGCAGTGTATAGACCAGGCATATCCCGTCCCACAGAGATCCGTGGATTTCAGCGTGGYCTGTGCAGTTTTTTGTCTGCTCGGGTGCCTGATCCCTTCCAGGCTGAATATTCCCGTGTTAGATGCACAGGATTTAACGCCCCGATTAAAGCCGGCAGCGCGCGGCTCCGCTCCCCCTCTTCACCCCTTCTCCTCTCTCCTCACCCCACATCCATCTCCCATTCCCTTTTCCCATCATCAGCTTAAAAAAATCAATTCCGTTTTTAATCAAATCCCCCCGCGTCACCCTGGCCCTCTCCACGCTGCAGCCGGTCCCGCCGTGCGAGGCTCCGCGCGGCTCCCGACGCCCTTATCAAATAGCACCCAGGGAAGGCAGGAATTCAGCCCGTCCCGTCTCCCGCAGGCACGAGCCGCGACGCGGCCGCGCTCGCGCCGGGCGCCGGCGGCAGCTTTGCGAGCGCRGCCTCTTTCCCCGGCACGGGCTTTGGCCGCTTCGCCCTTGCTCGTTAACCCCGAGCCCCGGGCCTCGAGCCGCCGCCGCCCCTGCMGCCGCTTTTAACGGAGTTTTCACTCCCAAGGACTGTTTTGCCAACAGCTATTCAGAACAAATSGTCTAACTCCATTTGGGATCACAGCGCTGTGATGCTATTTAGGCTTTAAAAATAATGCAGTTGCCAAGATAATGGCACGATGTGAAGTTACCCCTTGGATCTCCAAAACCCAGAGCCCCGCCGGGCGCCGGGCAGCTCCTCCCGCCGAAGCCTCCTCTTCCTCCCCATCCCGGCAGGGTGCCGCGATGCCGCCGCCCGTGCCCGCATCCCGGAATCCCGCCGGCGACGGTACCTGGAGTAGCAGGCGAGGCCGGTGGCGAGCGCGGCGTTGAGCACGGCCACGGGGACGTAGCAGAGGTGGAAGGTGCCGCCGAGCCACTCCGGGGGGAAGGCGTACGCCGAGTAGGCGAGTGCCGAGCCTGCGGGCACGGCTGCCTTGTTCCTGTGCCCGGAGTATCCCGGAGCGCCCCGGAGAACCCTGGAGCATCCCAGAGCACCCCAAAGCGCCCTGGAGCACCCTGGAGCATCCCAGAGCATCCCGGAGCGCCCTGGAGCATCCCAGAGCACCCCAGAGCATCCTGGAGTATCCCAGGGCACCTGGAGCATCCCAGAGCACCCCAGAGCACGGGAATCAGGGCCCTTCCCTGCACATGGTTCCCCCCGTGCGCCCCACGCCGCTGCCAGCAGCTTTGCCAGCGCTCATGGCTTTTTAGGACCTTGTTTTTGTGTCCCGGTGCCTGACCTGCCGCTCCACCCCGGCCTCTCCCATGCACCAGCCCAAGGCTGCAGTTCGGCTACAGCCGGAGCAGGGCCGGGGGCGCTTCCCACGGGGGCTCTCCAGGTTGTGCCCAGCTCCAGAACCCGCCGACCCCGACGTTTCCATCACACCCACGAGGCGAGCAGCGCTGGGAGCCGCTTCCCAAAGGGAGCACCGAGTAACGAGCCGCAGGGCCGAGCCGCGGTGCCCGCGCGCCCTCACCCAGGCTGTAGGTGCCCAGCGCCGCGTAGTCGAGGAAGTAGCCGAGGTGGCGCGCGCGGCGGGACATGGCTCCGAACGTGTGCGCGCCGCTGGACGCCAGCGGGTAGAGGCAGCAGGAGAGCAGGTAGGCGAGGAAGGGCCACGCGCGGCGCGGCCGCAGCGCCGCCGCCAGCTGCCACGCGAAGTACCTGCGAGCGGAGCGCGCTCGGCCCCGTGCCCGCCGCCCCGCGCCACCCCCTGCCCGCGGGGAGCCCCGGAATTGCTCCACGTCCCCCCGCGCCGCCCATCCCGGTCACCGCGCGCGTGCTGGGTACCAGGCGGGCACGAAGTGCGTCCAGATGTTGAGGGTCTCGTTGCTCATCTGGAAGGCGCTGAGCAGGCAGGCGGCGGCGGAGCTGCGCGGCTCGCGGTAGCCGGACACGATGCCCCGCTCCCGGTAGTCCTGCGGGACGGGCGCGCGGTGCACGGGGCCGGCCGGGCGCCCG